AAGAACCTTGACTTTGCTGACACCAGGGACCTTGCTCATTCCAGTCCTATAACTTCACATTAGAGATTCACTAGTCAGTGTACTTCTCTTGCAGATTGTCTAGACAGGCACTATAATATGACACCATTAATTTAAAAATGAACAGCATGGGTTGGCTCTGTGGCTTGGTGGTTAAGGCAGCTAGATGGCTGACTGCAGTTCAAATTCTGGCCCCAGAAGCTTGAGAAGCACGCCAGACACTTGTGTGTGCATGCCCAAAAATCCTGAAAAGAGGGAAATTGAGAAAGGACTGCAGAGCAATCATCTCTCAAAGGGTGTGCTTTCTTGTCTCTTTCTGGCAAGTGCATGTGTCTTCTAGGAGGAAAAAAAGGCACAACAGAAACAACAGTATCTTTTTTTTTTTTTTTTTTTTAAGAATTTTTTGCTATAGGGTGTGTGCACTCGCCAGAGAGACAGACACAGAAAGCAAGAAATCATCTCCCAGGTGGGATGGTCACACAGCAATCCCTTCTCCATTCTCCTCTTGGGATTTTGTGCACACATGCACACACACCTGAAGTGAATTTTAAGTCACCATGTCCAGGACTTTGAACCATGGTTGACTATGTGGGAATCCAGCAACATAACCATTATGCCATCTACTGGCCCCAATAGTATTCTTTTAAGTCACTGAAACTTCAACTAAAATCCAACTCAAAGTTCTACTCACTCTGGACCAAAAGAAGTAATGAAGAGCTCTAGGAACAAGATGATTGAATATGAAACAGGTGTGTCAAGGATGAGAGCAGACTAAAATTGCAGATGAACCAGAAAACAGGTCTAAGGTCAGAGATATTTCTAGACACTGCTGCCTTGCTCCTTCTCTTCCTTTGAGGTTTCTTCTCTTCCATTTCCTCTTTTTCTCCCTCCTCTCCCACTTCTGATTTGCATAATCAGGGATTAGTTGAGCCATTTAGAGTGCCACTTGGAGAGAAATGGATTTAATGGAGTGTTAACTTCTTTAACACCTTTTTATTCAGCTAACACTGCCTGGGAGGAGACCACACAATAAAATACTGACAGATTTGGCATATATTCCCAAGGATGCTCCACTTGGGAATGGCAACTCAGAACCAAACTCCAACTTTAAGGGTAATTCTTTTTTTTTTTTTTTTCTTTTACTTTTATCTACCTTTATTGTATGCTGACTTTATTCCCATGCCACAAGTTTTTGTTTCTTCAGGGATATTTTTTCTGTAGGACTTCCTCTTCCAGTTTAGAGGCAATTTGCTCCTTTTCAGTGAGGACCATCTCAATGTGGGAGGAGCTTATGTGTGGGTTAATCCACCCATGACCTCTGTATGTACAATGACATTTCTTGGGTGCCTTGTTCACCTGAATGTGCTCAATGACCAGAGAATCTACATCCAACCCCTTAAGTTCAGCATTATTCTCTGCATTTTTAAGCACATGCAGCAAAAATTCAGCACTTTTTGAGCCACCGACCTTGTGTCCATCCCGTTTAGCCTGGGCACATCAACCAACTCCACCATTGTAACGATGGAATGGCACACACTGCTTCTGTAAAGCGAGATCCTTCAGATACTTGGTGGCTTGTGGGATATGCATACTCTTGAGGGCGTGGGCAGTTTCCTTAAAGTGAACACGAAGATTTGAACTTTTTGATTTGCGTGGCTTTATAGGGTTCTCTGGGTCAAATGAATAGTGAACCACTTTCAAAGATTACCTCAGGCTGCTTACGAGAAGAGCAAGAGTAATTCTTATCCACTGAAAATCTGATTAAAGTGCCATCTTCTCAGAAATCAAAGACTTCTGCAGAGACCAGTCAATCTTCAAAAAATGTGCTCATACACTTAAAGACTATAGACAGGTTACCCTGACGACAAGGCCACTCTTTTTCCTTCTCTTTGGGGCTGATCTGATTATTCTTCCTATCAGGGAAAATCACCCATTCAGAGCAGCCCAAGATGCCTGACCTATTTTCTAAGTCATGCAACTCATAGCTTTAATTAGTTCAGACTTGCCTTTACTCTCTTTGTAGAAGTCGGGGAATGGGGGGCCAGCAGGTGGCATAGTGGTTAAGAGCACTGGACTCCCACATGACTGACAGCAGTTCAAGTCCTGGACCTGGTGGCTTTCTCTCTCTCACTCTGTCCCTCTCTGAGCAAATTAAAATAAAGAAAAATAAAATAATTTTTGGGAGGTTTTTGCTATAGAGCATGTGCACCAAAAAAGACAGAGAGACAGAAACTAAGAAATCACCCCCAAGGGGAGAAGGCCATGCAATCCCTTCTCCTTCATTCTCCTCTTGGGATCTTAGTCACCCATGCACACATGCCTGGCATGAGTTTAAGTCATTGGGTCTGGGACTCAAACCGCAGTCTACTACACGAGAGTCCAGTGAAGTAACCATTATGCCATCTGCTGGTCCCAATAAAATAATTCTAAAAAAAAAAGTCAGGGAATAGGATAGGGGGAAGTCAAGATTCTAAGCAGATCTACTCATGGGGCTTTGACTGTCAACCAGTTTGACTGTTTTTTCACATGGGCAGCTCTGCACTGCCTTAGAAGAGATGTTCAGTGTCATCCAGATTTCTCTGCAGCCTCCTGTTCCCCATTCTCTGAGATCTGGCCTTTCCTTCACAATGAAGGAAATCTCAAGAAAGGAACTAATTCTCATGCTCTGAGTTGTGTGATGGTCTGATGCCAGAGAAGCTTCTGCTTAAAAGGGTCCCCTATCCATGCTTATGGTTACCCCATAACCCTACCCTAGTCCCTAATGGCAAAGGTCCAAAGAAACCCCAAATTCACCTGTTTGGTTTCACTTTTTTATTCATTATCAAATTATACTAACAATGTATACTATTATAAGAAGAAAAAACAGACAACTCTAGCCCCCTTAAAAATACACACACATTTTATTATTTCTCCTCCCCACACTTCCAATCTACATCCATAGATGTAGATCCTACATCTTTACATGGTTGTAGTGATGGTAATTGTCTTTCCCCCCATATTATGAGCATTTTTTTTAACATAGCAACAAAATATTTATCATTATTTTTTCAAAGTGGCTGAATGGCACAAATAAGAAATATCCTAAATAGATAATAATGGTGGAGGGTGTGTGTGGTAACATAATTGTATTTTTCATTTGTCTGTTTCAATAACTAAAGCAACAAATCACATTTCTTAGAAGTAGCTCTTTCCATCTCAGTATGAGCCTGTTTTAGTCCTCACAGTAAGAACGTCCCTGTTCATTCATATGCAACTTCACCCAGTTTCCCATTCTAAAAATAGGTCTTCAGCATTCTGGCAGGACTGTAACACAGGAAAACATTCAAACAGCAAACTCTAAATACAATTCTGTTGTTGTGAGGTGGAACGTTGTGTGGAACTTCTTATCAGTACATCTTTGCTGGTACAGAAAAGACAGTAAGAGCTCCTGCCAAAAGCTTTCCTTCCTGCTTATACTTACAACGTTTCATTCTAGTAAGAGTTTGTTTATATACAATAGGGTGGGTACTCCCTATTAAAAATCCCTTATACCAATTACCAATGCCATCTGCTGGTCCCAATAAAATAATTCTAAAAAAAAAAGTCAGGGAATAGGATAGGGGGAAGTCAAGATTCTAAGCAGATCTACTCATGGGGCTTTGACTGTCAACCAGTTTGACTGTTTTTTCACATGGGCAGCTCTGCACTGCCTTAGAAGAGATGTTCAGTGTCATCCAGATTTCTCTGCAGCCTCCTGTTCCCCATTCTCTGAGATCTGGCCTTTCCTTCACAATGAAGGAAATCTCAAGAAAGGAACTAATTCTCATGCTCTGAGTTGTGTGATGGTCTGATGCCAGAGAAGCTTCTGCTTAAAAGGGACCCCTATCCATGCTTATGGTTACCCCATAACCCTACCCTAGTCCCTAATGGCAAAGGTCCAAAGAAACCCCAAATTCACCTGTTTGGTTTCACTTTTTTATTCATTATCAAATTATACTAACAATGTATACTATTATAAGAAGAAAAAACAGACAACTCTAGCCCCCTTAAAAATACACACACATTTTATTATTTCTCCTCCCCACACTTCCAATCTACATCCATAGATGTAGATCCTACATCTTTACATGGTTGTAGTGATGGTAATTGTCTTTCCCCCCATATTATGAGCATTTTTTTTAACATAGCAACAAAATATTTATCATTATTTTTTCAAAGTGGCTGAGTGGCACAAATAAGAAATATCCTAAATAGATAATAATGGTGGAGGGTGTGTGTGGTAACATAATTGTATTTTTCATTTGTCTGTTTCAATAACTAAAGCAACAAATCACATTTCTTAGAAGTAGCTCTTTCCATCTCAGTATGAGCCTGTTTTAGTCCTCACAGTAAGAACGTCCCTGTTCATTCATATGCAACTTCACCCAGTTTCCCATTCTAAAAATAGGTCTTCAGCATTCTGGCAGGACTGTAACACAGGAAAACATTCAAACAGCAAACTCTAAATACAATTCTGTTGTTGTGAGGTGGAACGTTGTGTGGAACTTCTTATCAGTACATCTTTGCTGGTACAGAAAAGACAGTAAGAGCTCCTGCCAAAAGCTTTCCTTCCTGCTTATACTTACAACGTTTCATTCTAGTAAGAGTTTGTTTATATACAATAGGGTGGGTACTCCCTATTAAAAATCCCTTATACCAATTACCAAATACATTCACAGGTTCTTCTCAGTTTTAGCGTTCTGATAAAGAAATGAGTGGAACTATTTCCACTCATCCATGGAACTATCTTCCTCACATTCTCACAATTTTATTACAGTGTATAATCGTGTTTGGCATAGGCTGGATCACCCTGAAGCCTTTTCTACATTTATTTCCATCCCATT